CTATACATGCATAAATCAAATTTTTAAATATTACCTCTAAATACATCAAATGATTTAGAACATTCTGAGTGAGTGATGTAGAGACGCTCTATCCACGAACCTACGCTGGCTTCTATTTGTATACTTTTCATACCACAAAACCTTTTCCTAAATAGTAAATATATAATTTGATGTATTCATGAAATGTTGGGAGCTGGACAACATTTAAACTGTATCCAACACCCACCAATACAAGTACATCCCCTCCATGGTGACATGTTTGAAAACAGCTTCTCAAAGCAAGTTATATCTACACGGCTGGCTTATTACAAAGCTAAAATCTTCCTGTGTGATAGTGATAACATATGGTAAAAAGCTTTATTAATACTCTGCCTACACTCTGTTCAGTTCAGTAGAAAATTTGACTGCTCCAGGTCTCAGACTATTTATGTGCTCTTCAGCCACCTACTGGCCACACCTCCCCAGGGATTGACTAAATATTCACTATGTTCTAGAAATGTCTAGAATGCAAGGAAAAAATAATAAATCATGCAGCATGTGAAACAAAGAACAGCCCAAAGCAATCAAAGACTACTCAATTGATTAGAGAGGAGCCACAAATAACTAATTTTGCCTAACATCCTAGCAACAAAACTAGGAGGGTGCTATAGGTAGATGCAACCTTCCAAGTGCATGTGGTGAATACCCAGGTAGGTCGCTCTCAATGCTTCAGGAAACTCAGCCCTAGGTTCTAATGTGGGACATTAAGAGGTGATGAACTGATTTACAGAGGAGTGAAAGAAAACCCTATTAACTACTTGAATGGCAGAGGCGCTGTATTAGCATGCATGTTTTATGGAATAGGATGAAGCATAGTTTTAGATCAGGCATAGAATTTATTTGGTACACCAAAGACACATTTCATAGCTAAAATATGCCACTTCCTTTTTTTTTGGTGTTACACAAGAATTTTGCACTTCCTATTTCCTGTATACCCCTCTTTGGTGTGCAATCTGCCTCCAGCATTCTTGGTGTGATAAATAAATGATATGTCCGATTCAAATACAATGAGTTAGAGCCATTCCTAAATAGTAGCGCATCCTACTATGGCTGTCTCTGCCATTCGACTAGTCAACTGAGATTTTTCTTTCCTCTACAGAACAGAGAAACCAACACATCAGAGAGTGTTTACCGTAGCTCAAACTGTTTCAGACAGTAGTATCTCCCAGAGATCAGCAGGAGGAACCGTTTTGAGCGACAGCAGACCCAGGAGACTGACCCTTCCAGAAGGGTCAGTTTCCCTGCAGACTTTAGGGGCAATTTTTGAGCAAATTGAACAGTGTTTGGCAATGTGGGCAGCAGATATGGCTTCAAAGAAAATTTGTATAGTAATAGAGTAGCTTTACAGGATTAATTGGGAGAGTAAAAGATAAAGGGCAGGTCAAGCTTGATTGATAGGGCTCTTTCACATGGATGACAGTGCCTACCGCCCTCTGAAAATCTATTTGCAGAGAATTGCTTTTCAGAAGGTGAGAGAGCAGTAGCTGCCAGGACTTCAGGCGCTTTGTTTTAAATATCAAGGGGGATTTTGTATTGAAATTGTGCAATGCAACCCTAAGTCTAACAGTCAGATATACCTGTGCTCAAATCCCAATAGCTTCTATATGTATATCTTTCATCAAGTGCTAAAGGGTTGTGACCACATGTTAACAGTAAACATTCTTGATGAACCCTCTGTACACTGCAATGCAGTCTTTCTAGAAAACTTTGCAATTAAAAAAACAGGTATTTTTAGTTCACATACAATGCAATACATGTTTAAGCTATCCAACTGCATCAAGGTAATGCCTCTCCGGCCAGTCCCTATTCTGCTCTACAAACTGCAAATGCTACAGTGGATAGAGTGCCAATAAGAGGCAGATAGACACAAGTTGTAGGAGAGTCACAAGGTTAAGGTCTGGTCCCTGCAATGCAATAGAAGAAAGATAAACCTGTGCTCCAACTTTGCTGGAAAAGGTATATAGCAGTGTGCAGAGGGTTCATCCAGAATTTTGAGTGTTAGTGTGTGGTCACACCCCCTGGTTTATATTCATGTAGAAGCTAATGGGATATGAGCACAGGTATATCTTGCTTTTATTGCATTGCAGGTTAGTGACCAGACCTGAACCTTGTGGCTCTCCTACAACTTGTGTCTATCTGCCCCGTATTTGCATTTTGTAGAGCAGTGTAGGGACTGGCCAGAGAGGGATTACTTTGACGCAGTTGGCCAGCTTAAAGTATAACTAAAGGTACAACTTTTTTTTTAGTTTTGCACAGAGTGGAGATTCAGTAGATTAGAACACTTGTCAGGTTTTTATTGCTGTCTGTGTTCTCGTTAGGGAGATTCGCTCTCTCTCTCTATTTGTCCTGTTTACCATTACCATTGAAAGTAAAACAAAATCCCAAATTTTGGGTTGTCCCCAGAAAAGTAATATAATGGGAAATCTTCCAGTGGGGACATTAACTCTGGTGCCCTGGGGGTCCAAAGGAATTTCTTTAATTTGGAGAGATTTCTTCTCTCTTCCTGTTTGGTTATTGGACAAGAAGTGAAGGTATATCTCCCCAATGGGACACAGAAGGCAAAAAAAACCTGAAAGGGGTTATAACCTTTCCTTACACTTTCCAAAATGAAAAAAAAAGTTCTGGTCTATAGTTCTTTAAACATATTGCAATGTAAACTAAAAACCCCTGTTTTTTTTATTGCAAAGTTTGCTAGAAAGGGTGTATAGCAGTGTGCAACCGTGAGCCAAGTGTGCTCCCATCTACACAAATGGTAATGGGCACATTTGACAAGAGGAGCCATCTGTCAAACTCTGAAAACTGAGTCAAAATTGCCACAACTGCAAAGTAAAGGATTGCACTCATGGCATGTGTCCAGCCCTGTCTGGCTGCAATGGTAGAATTTAGGTAGGCAGTCAGGGGGTGATAAACCCACGGCTCAACCTCCTGTTTTTTACTGCCCCCATCTGGGAACCATAAAGAATAGTTAAGATTTGTGTATAAATTTTACTAATGATCATCTCTGCTTATGTAGTTTTGTCACCACATGCTATGCTTAAATTGCCCAGGTTTACTTTAATACTTCCACATAAGATATGTTTTATATTTGTGCTTTAATGTATTGTATTGCTTATTTCTTTTTTTTTATATTTTAGTTCTGATTTTTAGTTTTGTAACAATATGCCACAGTGCAGTGGGAGCAGTTGTATCCATTAGAAGATGATGCAGTGTCAGTTTATAGCCAAAGGACCATAGCTACAGGTCACACTGAGGTCATATTGCAGGAATTTACACAACCTGTGAAGTCATTCACACTTATGCACTTTATTTGAAACATTTAAAATGTTATTTTTCTACGTGGCCAGCTCTCATTACAGTGTTAAGATTTTGTACAGTAAAAAAAAAAAAAAAACAACACATACGGTACATTCACATTTTGTTTAATATAATAAGGCTCATAATTAGTTCCATGGAAAATAATGGTAAATGGTAAAACCGCATGTGGTTTGGTGGTGTGTTTTTAAGACCTGTGGTTTTGTGTGTTTGAAGACAACAGACGTTGGAAGAGGTTGAACTTGATGAATACCAAACTTTTTTCAACCTTATTAAAGAGTTATTGCACCTTTGGTGCAGTTACATTTGTATTGTATTGTATTTGTATTGTATTGTCCCCCCAGCCCAACCCTAGTCTTATAATAACCGTTCAATGATCCAGAAAGATGCTTCTAGTAGTAACCCACATGGAAGAAAAGTATATTTTTAAATATATTTTTTCAAATATTCTTCTAAAATATATTGACATATATTTGAAATACTACAACTTTAGCCGTATTCAATATATATATATATATATATATATAGATAGCGCACGTTGAAATGCGTTTTTTATATATTACAAAATATATAAAAAAATATTTTTTTTTAAATATATATTTTTTAAAATATATTCTTTAGATTTTTTTTAACATATAAAAAAATAATTTTAACATATATTTTTACATATATTTGTAAATGCATTCCAAAATTGTGGATTAAATGTATTTTTAAAGACATACAGTATATTTACAAAAATGTATTTTTAAAAATATTTTTCATATATTTTGGAATAAAAAATGCATTTCAACATGCAGTATATATATATATATATATATATATATATATATATATATATTTATTTATTGAAATATATTTTGAAATATATTGAATAAGGCCGAAATTGTAGTATTTCAAATATATGTCAATATATTTGGGAAGAATATTTTTAAAATATATTTAAAATATATTTTTCTTCTATATGGGAAAACCCCCTTTATTGACATTAAAAACAACATGTCACAAATCGAAGAGCAATGTTTTGCAACCACAAAAGTTCCCTTCATCAGGAAAAGTGGTATGGCCACTCTGAAGGAACCCTGTGTGGTTCTGATATATTATTATTAAAATGTGCTTTTATTTGAAGAGTAACTTCACTTTTGTTGAGAAAAAAAAACATTCCCCTCTGGGTGATCTATATACATCACAAGGATTTTAACAGACTTTATTGCAGGTTCCTACCCTTTGTTATTCTGAAGAAATGCTTGTTTGTTTGTCTGTGTCCATGTGCAGAGTGAACGCATACGGGAGTGGTTTTGTAATTATCAATCAGCTGCTGCGCCTGCAGGGCTTTAATGAGGAAAGTGGCAGGGTCTGCATCCCTTTGGGAGTAGCTCCCCAAAAATAACATTTTTGTTGCAGAGGATGCCCAAAATCTGACTTGTTTCTTAGTGCACACTTCTTGAACAATATGTAAACCAATCACACAAGCAGGAAATTAAATTTTCGGGTGGGGGAAGGGATTTCCATACGCCGTCTGTGTACAGAACACCTCAAGGTTGGGGTGTGCAAAATCACGTATATATACTGTACGTGATTTTGCATTTTGCATTTGTGGACTTGGCTGTCAATCACCAGGTCCTGGCCGGTGATTACTCGCCAGTACCCGGTGATTACCGAGCATCTCCGACGGGAGGGGAGAACTGTTTGTAAACAAAACACAGATCTCTCCCGTCAGCTCCTGCACACTGCTTTCCATGCCTGTGCATAGCACAGCCATGCAAAGCAGTGTGCGTACAGTGAAGCACACACACAGCACACACACTAAAACTGCACACAGCACACAGTTAACCCTTTGATCGCCCCAGATGTTAACCCCTTCCTGCCCAGTGCCATTAGTACCGTGTCAGTGCTTTTTTATTAGCACTTACCACTGTATTGGTATCACTGGGGATGTCAGTGACACCAAGTCAGTTCCCCCCAGTGTCAGAATGTCCGCCGCAGTCCCACTATAAGTCGCTGATCGCTGCCATTACTAGTAAAAATAAAAAAAACAGTATCTATACTGCCATTTGTAAACGCTATAACTTTCACGTAAACCAATTAGTTTACACGTATTGGGATTTTTTGTTAGCAAAGACATGTCGCAGAATACATTTTGGCCTAAATTTATGATGAAATTTGATTTTTTTTTATTTTTTAACTGGACATGTTTAATAGCAAAAAGTCCAAAATATTGTTTTTTTCCCAAAATTGTCAGTCATTTTTTTTATTAGCGCAAAAAATTAAAACCGCACAGGAGATCAAATACTACCAAAAGAAAGCTCTATTCGTGGGAAAAAAGGACATAAATTTTGACTTAGCACTATGGGGATGAGTCACACATCCATTTGTACTCAAGCGTGTTCTGATAGGTTCTAACTTGCACTTGCCTGGGTCACCCACCAGTGGACTCAGTGTTTACGCAGTAGTAGAAGAAATAACACGTGTGTATGTGTTGTGCTGCTTGCCGGAAAATGAGTGACAGGTATCTGGAGCAGTGGATTGACATCAAATTTTGCATGAAATTTGGCAAAAGTATGAGTGAAATGTTAGGACAGGCTTATAGTGAACATTTCATGAAGAAATCAGATGTTTTTGAATGGCATAGGTGGTTTAAGGAGGGGCTTGAAGATGTCCACGATGACACAAGAAGTGGGCAGCCAAAAACACAAAAAATAGACAGATGCATAATTGGACAAAGTGTGAACCTTAGTACACATAGACTGAAGATTGAGTGTGTGAAAGATGACAGAAGAACTGTACATGAACAGGGAAACAGTGAGGAAAATTCTAATGGAGGATTTGGGAATGAGAAAGATTTCTGCGAAGATGGTGCCTCGAGTCTTGACAGAAGATCAGAAAGAATGTCATCTTCAAATTTCATTCCATCTTTTTGTAACGCCCTCTAGGTTTAGATAGCTAGGCTTTTTGTTTTTTAGATAGAGGCTGGGTAGCAGCCTGGGATGAGTCAGCCTGGGAGTGAGGTAGTGAGTTCACCTTAGGACTGCCTGGGAGATTCTGCAGGTCAGGGCTTCTGGAGCCCTCCCACCTTTCCAGAAACTTAGAGAACTTTCTGGAATAGGGGTGGAGGATGGGAGGAGGCCTAGATCTGCATGCTTGAGGGACCTTGTCCAATCCACTAGCAGGAGGCTAGGTATGGTGACCAAGGATAACCCTTAAATATGACAGAGCCTGGGGAGCAGTGTGAAGTGTCAGGTGGAAGATGAACTGAGAGGAAGGTTGGGGTGTGAAGCCTGGGAGGGGAGTCTATCTGCAGGCAGGTCACTGGAAAGGAGGATCTCCAATGTCCCACCATCTACTAGGTAGGACAACCTATGCAGCAAAGAGGGAGTCAGCCTAGCGTAAGGCCTAAAGGCAGCCCCCAACCCTCCAAGCTAACAGGACAGGACCGTATGCGTAGTTCTACACCCCCTGGGCCAGATAAGGAGAGAAGGAGGTCAGGTACAAGACCCAACTAGTTCTCATCCGGGAATACTTCATTGTTAGCTTTTTGGACCCCTTGGCCCAGGGATAGCCGTCAGTGTGCAGCTGGGTGAAGAGAAGGATTCATCCGGGGTCTGAGGAGGTACTTCAGAGCTCCTTAACTTCTTGCCGACCGCGCGCATAGCCGAATGACGGCTTCACCGCGGCCGGCCAGTTCTGAGTGGACGTCATATGACGTCCTCCCAGAACGCGCTCTCTCCTGCGCGCCCCAGGGGGCGCGCACCCGGCGATCTCCGTGATCGCTGTGTCCTACGGACACAGCTGATCACGTGATGTGGTGAAAGGCCGATCCCACCGGCCTTTTACCACGTGATCAGCGGTGTCCAATGACACGCTGATCACAGGCAAATGCAAGTGCCGGTTCTCGGCTGCACTTTCCTCACGCTGTCAGATCGTGAGGAAAGTACTGCCGAGAACCGGCAGTTGTCAGAGCGGGGATCGACACCGATCATCAGGGCACTGATGATCAGTGCCCTGATGATCGGTGCCCAGCAGTGACACCCGCAAGTTCCGCCCAGCAGTGCGCCCACTAGCCCCGCCCACCCGTTCCCAGCAGTGCCCCCACCTGTGCCCAGCAGTGCCCCCACCTGTGCCCAGCAGTGCACCCACCTGTGCCACTCTGCAGTGCCACCTACCTGTGCCCAGAAGTGCCACCTACATGTGCCCAGAAGTGCCACCCACCTGTGCCCACCCACCTGTGCCCACCAGTGCCACCCACCTGTGCCCACCAGTGCCACCCACCTGTGCCCACCCACCAGTGCTGCCCACCAGTGCCACCCACCAGTGCAGCCCAGCAGTGCTGCCAGTCAGTGCCACCAGTCAGTGCCCAGGGGTTGTGCCAGTCAGTGCCGCCAGTCAGTGCCCAGAAGTGATGCCAGTCAGTGCCGTCTATCAGTACCCATCATCAGTGTCACCTACCAGTGCCGCCTATCAGTGCTGCATATCAGTGCCGCCTATCCGTGACCCCTAATTAGTGCTGTCTATCAGTGCCGCCTATCCGTGCCACCTCATTAGTACTGCCTATCAGTGCCCTTTAGTGCTGCCTATCAGTGCCCATCAGTGCCGCCTATCAGTGCCCATCAGTGCCGCCTCATCAACGCAAATCAGTGAAGGAGAAAAAAATACCTGTTTGAAAAAAAAAAAAACGTTTATTTGTTTCTTTTATAAAATTTTTCAAATTTTTTGCACTTTTTTTAATTTATAGCGCAAAAAGTAAAGCGCCCAGTGGCGATTAAATACCACCAAAAGAAAGCTCTATTTGTGAGAAAAAAATGATCAAAATTTCATATGGGTACAATGTTGCATGACCGCGCAATTGTCAATCAAAGTGCGGCAGCGCTGAAAGCTGAAAATTGGCCTGGTAAGGAAGGGGGTATAAGTGCCTGGTAGGCAAGTGGTTAAAGAGACTGTGTTCTGTTTTTGCTAATCCACGTTTTTGTACAGTATTGTTGCTAAGAAGTTTGTCCTCAAGTTTACAGTTCTTTGGGCATCCCATATACACCTAGACCCCATCCAAGTTGTTAACCCCTTAACCACTTCAAGTCCGGACACTTTACCCTCTTCCTGTCCAGGCCAATTTTCAGCTTTCAGCGCTATCACACTTTGAATGACAATTGCGCGGTTATACAACACTGTACCCATATGAATTTTTTAGCATTTTATTGAGACAGATAAAGCTTTATTTTGGTGGTATTTATTCACCACTGGGATTTTTATTTTTTTTTGCTATATAAATGAAAAAGTCCAAAAATTTTGAAAAAAAGTGTTTTTCTTATAAAAATTTGCAAATAAATATTATTTCATCATAAATCTTGGCCAAAATGTATTCAGTTATCTTTTTAGTAAAAAAAAAAAAATAACCCAAATTAGTTTATAAGCAAAAATTATAATTTTTAAAAATTTTAAAAATTAAAATTTTTATTATTTATGCTTTTTTTACATACTGTCACCCTAGCAGTACAGTGTCACCATGGTGACACTGTACTACTTGTGGGGGGGGGGGGGGGGTGATGAAGAGTTTTTTTTTACACTGAATGCTTTTATACCCATAAAGGCTGTAAAAGCAATAATTTCTCCTTCTCTCTGGTTGCATTCTTGCAGCCATAGAGAAATACTGTGTGAGCTGTGATTGGTGATCATTCACAAATTTCACACGTAGTAAACAATAATTTCAGAAATGACATCTTGCTTACTACTCTGCATGTGATCACTGATTGGCCAATCAGTGATCACATGATTGGGACCTCACACAGAGGTCCCGTACGACGTTTGGTGGGCACCGGATCGCGGTGCAGCACGCTCCCAGGGAGCGCGCACAGTCCAAAATGGCGGGCGCCATTTATGAACAGCAACCTGCCCCTGGACTGCCACCGTCCGGCCGTTTATATACAGCGGCCGGACGGCAAGTGGTTAACCTCCCTAGTGGTCTGATTATGTCAGTATTTCTGTGCTCAAAGCGGTACATTTTTTTGCATGGAAATATGTATTTTTTTTTTATTGTAGGCCTGTAATTTTTAGGAATAACTCACTGAAATCTGTCCGAACAAGAGTCTAGTAGTAAAAATCCCGGGTATGATAAAATTTGAAACACAAAGTCATAAATTATAATATAATAAATAATGATAAAAAATAATAATATAATAATAAATTTAATTCAATAATATAATCAAACCAAAAACATTGAAATTTGAAATAGAGCGCCAAGTTCGCACATCACTGAGCAAAGTCGCAAAATTGTTTTCAGTGTCTGATGATGCCTTTCCCCACGAATCATTATCACTCAATTCTGCAAGTGATTCTGATTTACTATCGCTGTTCTCTAGCTGGTCTAAAACCGCTTTTGACCTAAAGGGACGCTTTTTTGGGGACGCCATGGACATTTCTCAGTTTCCAGGCAGAAAGAACAGTAAAAAATGCAGGCAGGGCACAGGACAAAGCACTAGGGACAAAATGTATGTGAAATGGTTTGTTACAGTAATGTTATACTATGAGATTTTAGTGCATTGAGTGAATGTCACTGTTAAAATTTTTGAATTTCCCACCGGTTCCGTCCCCCGTACGTCCCGACGCTCGCAGGGAACGGAACACCGAAGACGGATGCTGGCATCAGCCGGAGGAGATGGCTAGGGACGCTGCAGGGGGGACATCGCGGGAGCGCAGGACAAGGAAAGTACAAGAGGGATCCCAGAACAACGCTGCAGGGTAATCCAGAGTGTAGCTCGGGGTTACCGCTTTTGGTACTGAAAGTTTACCCCGAGCTACACACGGGAATACCGCCAGGGGGGTTAATAAAAACTACTAACAGCTCAAGGACTATTTACTGACTACAAGTGTGCAAGTGTGGAAAATGCATGCTGCTTGGCCATGCAGAGCTTAGGGGGACACAAATAAATCCAGCAGCCCTAGTGCTTCATTTTGAAGAATACAGAGGTCTTTGATCTTTTTTTTCTCTTTTTTTTTTTTTTTACAGTCTGATTGAATGTTGATGCTACTGACAACTACAAGACAAGTAAAATGCATAAAAACACTCCTTATGAATGGAAAACCATACTCAAGCTTGCAGTGGTGGTGCCTGATCTGTAAGCTAACGGGCAGAAGCACAAGGTTGTAAAGCTGCTGTTTGTCAAAAAATGTTGTCACCCTCTTTGTGCAATGGCATCACACAGAACACAAGGACTCACTCAAAGCACAGTGCAAATAACATGCATGAATTTTTAACTTGCTCTGTGATGTTCTATTTTTTTTACACATTGCAGTGCATTTTTTATCCTTTGTTTGGACGCTATCACTATGCATTACAACGTATTATAGCATATCTCAATGTGATGTGCAAAAATACAACATATTTTCTTCAGCAGCACATTGGTGTGAACAAAAACAATAACGAATAAAGCTACACTATATTGCCAAAAGTATTGGGACGCCTGCCTTTACATGCACATGACCTTTAATGGCTTCCCAGTCTTAGTCTGTAGGGTTCAATATTGAGTTGGCCCACCCTTTGCAGCTATAACAGCTTCAACTCTTCTGGGAAGGCTGTCCACAAGGTGTAGGAGTGTGTCTATGGGAATGTGTTTGACCATTCTTCCAGAAGCGCATTTGTGAGGTCAGGCACTGCTATTGGAAGAGAAGGCCTGGCTCGCAGTCTCCGCTCTTATTCATCTCAAAGGTATTCTATCGGGTTGAGATTAGAACTCTGTGCAGGCCAGTCAAGTTCCTCCACCCCAAACTTGCTCATCCATGTCTTCATGGAACTTGTTTTGTGCACTGGTGTGCAGTCATGTTGGAACAGGAAAGGGCCATCCCCAAACTGTTACCACAAAGTTGGGAGCATAAAATTGCCCAAAACGTCTTGGTAAGCTGACACTTTAAGAGTTCCCTTCACTGGAACTAATGGGCCAAGCCC